GACCGCAGCAAGTGTTTTGTCTGGCAATGCCCTCCAAAACAACCCACTCTCATCAGCGTAGTACAACTGTTCTAGTTCATAGTTTTCTTCTTGCAAAATTACTTGTAATTTTTGACGATATTCATCAACAACAGTGTCATCAACTGACATTTGTTCACCTTGTACGCTGAGTTGTCGGATACCATGTCGGTCTTTGAAACGTTGTAACCACCCAGCGGAGATGGTGTGATCGGATAAGACCGTCATCGTTGGCATGGATATGCTGATAAAGACACGTGGCCTTTTGTTGTAACATGGGGCCCGAAATGGGAACACCCTTATTTATCACGTTGTTGGACGAACCATAAAAAGACAGCTTGGTCTAGTTGTTCGTCTTTTGCTGGTTTCATTGACTTTCTTTTCAACACATTAGCAGTGTCACTGTGATCAATAAATTTTTCGATGGCATGTCTTGCTTTCTTTATGTCGGAAACATTTGATTTACCGATGTTGAACTCTTGAGCTAATTTCGATGCCTTCTCTCCACGATCTAACCGCTGCAAAATTTCTCTTTTCTGCTCGATGTTCAAAGGCGTACGCTTTCTGTTAAATGATGACATGTTAGCAAATGCTTAGGATTATCCCAGGTATGCTCGTTTGTACTGTTCACTAGGGAATCAAGTTCAAATGTGGAGAACACTCTGATTTTGCATGGTTTTTATTCATATCTGATCAATGGGGTGTTTATCGGGGAAATGATCGGCAAAGCTACCGCTCGTCTGCGAGTAACAAAAACAGACACAAGTGTGAATTTCTCTCATTGTTTTTTTGTCAACACCCCTTACAAATTGTCAACACCTTTAATAAAAGAACCTAACTTTAGTCTCAACAGCTGTTTAGTTGTCAACTATGTGCAAATATGCATTTTACTTGTTGAAAAAAAGCAAGCAATCACATTTGGAATATTTTCTTAAAATTACGAACATTTCGTTGGGACCACGGAAGTTCGTTCGAATAATCCGAAATTCGGATAATCGAGGTTCGGATAATTGAGGTTCCACTGTAGTTTGAACATAAACATGTCAGAGATATGGATCCAGAAGCTGATGCTTAGATATGATTTTTTAACATGAATGACATTCAGTCCTCTTGTATTTGATCGTCAAACGAGTATTTGTTCATATTGAAAGATTTTCGACCATTTTGAATTGGATTGTCAAACAATACATCTGTATATCTATGACATGATGTATAATGAATATATAAAATTCATTCAGTAAAACAAAATGACCACCAGTCGGCCATTGTGAATACGATCTGAAAAACAAAATGACGTCTGTAATGACGCCAAGATCTGGCTCTGGAATGCTTGATTTTGATGATTTTTCAGCACAAAAATGGCCACCATTCGGCCATCTTGATTCAGATCATGAAACAAATTGATGTGCATATGTATAATATTATGTATGATGTATGTGTGAAGTTTGAATGTAATCAGTCTAGGCATATCTAAGATATGGTCCTGAAATATGCACACACGTACAGAGGTCAATCCATAAGTTTTCGATGTTTTCGGATGGCATACAAACAGGGAACTAATAACTCAGTCTTACAGCTAACATAAAATCTGTATCCAGTCAACAATAAGGATTATTATTAAACTAAAATAAATTTATTTTAATTTACCTTTTCAAGTTCATGGGACTTGGATTTGATATAACAGGACTAGGATTGGGAGATGACACAGCAGCACCATCCCCACTGGCATCTCCAATACGATTACTTATAACGTGCGTCACTTCATTACAGAGGAACTTCTCAACTACCTGAATAAATAAAACGTACTTTAATAATGCATTCACTCATTCACACAGATATAGAACCAAAGTGCAACTTTGCCCATGATTCAATAAATTTACTACACCAGCTCGAGTTAACCCAAATAATAGCAACATATTTTTGTAGCATTTAAGTGGTATTTTAAACTGGACAACCATACTTTCAAGTAATTTTACTAACATTTTTACTAACAATGGAAATTTTATTTGGTAACAACCTTGAAGCACAGAACTGTGCGTAAAAAGACAATGTTGTTTACAAAAATGTACACATGTTATATATGTTGCATGTGACTCGTATCAAACTCATCAGCTAAGGCACTTTTAATAATAACATAATTTAATGATATTGACATTGAATGCAATTTTCCATGCATAATGTAATTAATTCCACAAACACTATATCCCTGATTTCACACTAGGCAAAGTATGGAAAGAAACTTCTCCCAACTATACAACCTGTATTCCAGACACCTGTAAAAGCACATTTTGTGCAATCAAAATAGGATAGTTCATAAGAGTGAAACTATCGACATTATTCGCTTTAACACAGCTCACAAAACTAATTTTATCCATCTTTTAATTTCATTGAAATTCAAGTCAAACAAAAAAATCATCTTCACTTACTCCGCCAAGATCAATCAGATCTTTTTCCAGTATTTTAATTTTTCCATACTGACGTAGATCCAGGTAAAACACTTTACCCTTCAGTGGATACAAATCAAAACTGGATGATTTCTCTTTTCTTGAATCGCCTGTAAGGTTTAACAAATAAGAATTACACTAGTCAGCAGATATTAAAAGAAGAGAAATACCGGTACATACATGTACAGGTGCATACACAGATATTAGTTAACAGGGTTATAGTCAGAAAATAGAAATCTGCTTAAAAACTTTATTGAAAATCAAAATTAGACAGGTTTGTAGACATTTTGTACCTGTCTAAAAACTTGAAGGGCTGAAATTAAAAATCACCTAAATACAATACACAGAATGGCACTTTTGGCAGGTATTTTCACAATAACTTACAGCAATAAGTACAGTGCATTTCATATAGTAATTAAATACTGCAAATTAAGACGAAACAATTACTGCACTTCCCCGATCATAAGCCCCTCCCTGAGTATAAGCCCACTCCTCTATTTTTAGACATCTAATGAGTTGAGGGCATCCCCGATTATAAGCCCAGGGTGTTTTTACAGGACGATGAGAACATTTATTAAAATATGCTTGTAAAAGTGTGTTCCGTTGCATAAAAATCATGCTTAGTACGATAGTTTGATTCATCATTTTACTTTTTCGAATAATCGTAGTATCAATTGAAAAGTATTGTGAATGAGGTGTGAATGAGTAAACTATTCCCTGACAGGACCTGTTGTCGACCGAGAAAGGTGTTTCAATACTCCCTTCACACTCAGTAAATACCTTTTGAAAAAAAATTCGAATTACTAGTTTTTTCGTCGAAATCGGTTCTAACTAATCGCATTTTAACATTGCAGAAATTCACTTCCGCATTGCAATAAAAAAAACGAATGAAAGATGTAATTTGGATAATTTTTTAGGGGTGGGGTAAGATGGTTACAATTGTAACTCCCCCCTCCCAAATCATGTTTTCTGAGGTAGTCCTCGAGTATAAGCCCATCGCTTAATTTCAAGCATTTTAATTTGATTACATTTGAAATAAAGTTAATGAAAATTACCAAGTCTTTCAAGGGTGTGGCACCTCTAAATCCAAAAACAAATATTAGAGCAGTAATAATTTGCCCATTGCATGTAATGGCAACAATATGACAAAACAAGTCTCACAAATCACAAGAGCAGCGTACATCAGAAAGATGTAGTTTTTACTACTCAATCGCTGGTGACCCTAATTTCCAAAAAGTGAAATTAGGTTGCATTGGAAAAAAAACTGCAAATAAATCGAAGCAAAAATTATTCAACTGCAGACAAGATGGCCCTAAAAAAATGAACCCCGACCTCTGGAATACTTTATTCATAGTATTGAAGAAGGCTGCCCTAAGGTGACATAATGCACGTTGTGACATCCGTGACTAATGCCTGCTGGGTTACAAGGGGGATTCCAATTGAACATAGATGGCGACGCAGTTGTCGATCTTGATGTAATGTCTAAGATAATCATAAATGAACCGTTTTAATTAACAAAACATTAGTGTATTTTTACAGCAAAAAGACAGATACTGATGATTGCAACAGAAGCAGTGCAATGCCATCAGCTGACCATTTTATGGTGATTGTAGCACTACGCATTACGTACATATATAAATCAATGAAAAATCACTGAAATAATGTTGTCATTATTGATTTATCAATTTCATCAGATCTGATAACTCACAATCTCGCAGACTTTACAAATTTAACCAAAAAATGTTTTCCCCAACGTCTTATCAGTTCACAGTGACATGGGCACTAAAACTGACTGTACTTGTTTTACACAAAATAATGATGAACCAGTTACCTCCATGGATAACAATATATTTCCTGACTGGCTGTACCATACATATTTCCATTGATTTTTTTTTTTGCTGTTATATTTCAAACTTTATTTCACTTGATACATACATAAAATAAAATACAATAGAGTAAATTATATAAAATATGAACTGTAGAGTTGGCTCTATTTTTTCCTCCATGGTAGATCTACAAGTGTACCTACCAGAATTACATGAGGCATGTAATAGTTTTTGTTGTCAAATATTAACAGGGAGTCTGCAATTTTTTGTAAGGAAGGTTGAGAAATGTATGTAGTTTTGAGGTATTATTCACAGTCTGTTTATACTTATACTGTGTAAAATATGATTGTTCTGTTTTTTGAGAGGTGGCCGGGGTGGCTTAAAAATCTACAAAACACACGGGTCACAACATGCACCAAATTATTTCCACGATAAACACACACACACAAACAAATTAATATTGTGTTTTAGGTATCAACAAATGATATTCTGGTGAATTTAAATAACCATTATCATTTCTAGATTTACTTAAATCTACGCTAGATGTTTATAGAGAGGGACGCTTGTTAGAAAAGGTCACGAAAAAACCTGTTGTATCGTGCGTGGATGACCCTTTACAGTTTACACACGAGTCCAATACACACAACCAAACCGTCCATTATACACTCCAAACTACTCCTATAAACAAACTAGCAAACGTACCTTTACTACCCGACTGACCAGACACATTTCGACTCTTCGAACGTCGTGGTTTATCCGGCATGGCCATGTTCAGATGGGGTAATTCAGATTTAAACTATATAATGTTCCACTGCATAAAACGAAATTCGGTAACGCTGTACACCCACTCTGAACTACACGCACAGTTCGTCCACCGAGGTACTGTTTCGCCCGTACAGCACATTTGCACGAGAGATACTATTGCAATTATGTGACATCATTCCAATAAAGTTATCGACCATCTCTACATTGTGCCAACCAGTACCAAGGTAAAGGAAATCAAACACCATACAGTTACACGACAACGTAACCAAACAGCAAAACTCCAGCACTCATATTTTGTTCTCCATATTGGAAACCTTGATAGACTCCCTATCACTTTATCTATTAAACGCGTATGTAAAACCCCAACAAGTTTCATTGGAATATATTGTACATTTTTCGTGAATTTTACAGTGTATATTAACCTCTATTTTACTATAAATATTTTAATTCTATTTCCTGCAACGATAAATGAATGTTCTGACTCAAATACAAATACAATCGATTTTGCAAAAAAATGGCTCCAGCGGAATTTCTAGCTACCTAAAGGGTCTTAAAAGGCTGATTTTTACCGCCATATACCATGATCCTTTGTGTTCACTTTCTTGCCTTCGTGGCGCACTTTTTTGAACTAATGATAACACTTTCAATCTTTACACATTATTTATACCTCGACCACTTCCTGAGATTAAACTCGTGTATTGGAATATGACAGCCATCAAAGCACTGCTAATGTGTTTTTCATTCACGGGTGCTTTCTGGAAAAGGTCACGGTACGGTGTCATGTCAAGAACAGTTACTAGTACTTTTCGACAAAAATCGACTAAATCTCACTCTGGTATCCTCCTAAACGCTCAAGCGAATATTATCAAATCCGCGAGAGTGTGTGTCACCGCCATTTTTATTGTTTTGAGACATTTTTACGTGAAGACTATTTCCGTGATCACATGTTTGTATGCGAGTTTCGTGAATAACATAAAATAAAACCATAATGTAATAATCATGGAAATCTGAATACTAAGTACCTGTTCTAATAAACGCATCAGAAAGAACTGCGCATGTGCGGAAGCTATGCTTTTATTATAGTTCTCTTCTTGCATAACATTGCCCACGGTCGTAATTTTGAATTCACCAGTATTCCTGAAAATTGTCCCTATACAGATACTTTATCAATATACTAATATAATAAATATACGCGCAGTTTTGACAGTTACATTTGTAACTGGGGATTAGTTTGAAGTTTGGGTTTAGTTAGAAGTGAATAACACGTTTATTGATTTTATTATTATACAGTATGTTGTATAATGAAATCATGACCACAGTCCGATTCCAACGCATTTATATTCATTAGTTCGGAGCTATAGTAGTAAAAATAGGAAAGGGGTGTTACGAACTCATTTGACTTTGAGGGCTGAAATAAAAAAATATATATAATAAATATCATTGATAATCATATAGTATTTCAGCCTCCATGTGACAGCCAATTATGATTATCAGGGTGTATCACGCTATATGCACATAAATCAGTTCAGTTTGTTGTGAGACGCATTGTCAATCTTATTTGACGTTTTCTAAATGAGGCTATACGTACGGCGTAATCAGATCCATGTCAGATCACATCCACACAGGGTTGTGTGCGTCCCCGGATATGACGCAAGTGACATGTAATTACTAGACACACCAATATGGAATCTGGGAATGTACATTAGCTACTGACATAATTACTGGACCTAGTAACGACTGTTACCATATACTAATGTACGCAGCATGAAATAATAAGCAAAACACATTATCTATTGTACGAGTAACGTTTAATAATTAATCATGGAAGTAAAAGAAAACCAATGACAACAAACAAAACTCGTAAAAATCTATTAACAACTTATCGGAAATTCAAGGCCAGAATAACTGCTTCCGGGCCAAGTGTTCTAAGTGATGAAACAATCGTTTTCTGTTAGTTCTAATATATATACATTGGATTTGTTTTGTATAAATTCTCTCGTTCCCACTTATATATTTGTATTTTATAGCAACGTTTCATCACTAGGAGTCATGATTGAATGGGCAAATGGTATTTGGTATCGCTCTTTGTTCCTGGAGCAGGCAACGCGATGACGTCAAATTCACAGTCGCTTTCATTGGACAAGTCAGGTTTGTCCCTTTTCCTTCGCCATTCACAATATTTTATAAGGGAGGGCAGGGGGTAGCTGGTACAGGTTACAGGAAATAAAAACGGCATTTGACGTTTTTACAGGAGATAAAATGAAAGATCCATTTACAGTAAAAAAATAGGGTTTTACATTTTACAGATAAAACAAAATCTTAATTACATTTTTATAATATATTTTATTAAAAATTGCACACGAATTACGACATTTAATGTGGGAAATGCTCTATACGCTAACAAAAATAAGATCTTTGTACAAATTACGGACGAATAAAATAGCTGATTACATTTTACAGCTTGCCCATTTCTCCTCTATAAATTAATTATGAATATATAAACTGCAAATATCGATACAGTGAAGGGCACAACAGTTTTGGTCGTTATAAATGTTTTCATAAATATGCATTTTTATGAAACAAAATGGATGTTACAATTCAAATTGACCAATCCAGGAATGGGTTTGTTACATCATCGTTAGTTCTGATCAATATTAATGAGCTTGTTCAACATTATCCAATCAGCAAGTGCATCATTTGCTATGTTACGTGAAAGCATGAGCGCGCATTATGGGCGTAGACAATGTTTAGCTTTTGAGCCAATCACTATTAAGTATTTAAATTTGAACGATAGCTGATGATTCAATAAATACATTTATAATCTAAGGTACAGCTTTATGACCTACACTGTACCAGGTCTATGAGAAGGATAGAACATGTAAGAATGTTTCATATACGCGTAATTTTGTCACCCTTAATAGTTTACTCTACTTTATACAGAACGCCTGGCATTGTGTTTTCAATCTGGTTTAATTTATTGGTCATCAATAAATACACCTGGTCATCAACGTCAAACGAGTAGCAACTTTCAGCGCCGTAACTATCCAGTGTCGAGTGGCGTACGAATTCTGTTCCGTTGTACCAATAGACAGTGGAGTCAACGTCGTACGAGGTTCCGTTATAGTGGTTGGCAACCAACAGATACAATTGGTCGTCTACGATAAACGGGCATGCCTTAACTGGTCCTATTGTGTCCAAATACTGGAGCAACTCGAATTCATTGTCCCGCCAAATATATAGAGGGCGCTCTAAATAATACTCGGTGTCAAGTAATCCGACATCAAGAAATCGTCGGAGAGAGAAAAGAAATGTGTTATCATTGTAGTTGAATACTAGCGATGGATAAGAATATACATCAATGGACTGTTTTCTTACAAATTTAGGTCGTTTGCCTGTCTTTTCAAACTTGTAAATTATGGTACGGTACCTGGCTGTATCATCCACTGAAATGTAAAGTTGTCCATCACGCTCAAAACTTGTCATCATCGCCCCCTCAACTCGTTGTAGGTACTGGAAAGTGGAGAAATCCAAGCCGTTCCACTCAAATATTTCCGTGTTTGTTGCTGGGTAGAAGTCCATCGTCAAGAAACTAAAATTATTACCATAATTGCCATTTTTCACAGAAAAACACATCGCATTTCCGCCGAGCGCGCCTCTGAAAGATTGTTCCATGTAGTCAACGAATTCATCTCCGTTCCATTTTGTGATGTGAACCACCGTATCGAACGAGCTGTCATATTTTATGGCCAACATATAATGTTCCGAATCCAGGTTACAATAAAGACACTGTATAAGCTCTTCTCCCTTTTCCACACTTTGAAAAAAGTTGAATTTCTCAGCATGTTCGCGGTTGCCGCCATTTTCGTATCGGTAAATGTGACATGCGCGGGACTGAAATGGAAATGCCAAGAAGGAATGCTGGTCGATCTTGAAGGCTGATATGGCGACATTGCTGGTAATTATGTCCTGGATCGGGGTAAATGTGATAGGCACCATTTCAGTGTTGATTTTATTGTTTTTAGTTTTTGACCGCTTCGTAGAGACTGGCGACCCTGTAATGAATCAGAATAGGGTTAGGATATCGTCTGATCAAAATGGATGTGATATTATCTGTTTGGGTGGCGGGACTAGAATAAAAAGAACTTGGCCGAAGAGACAAATAACCTGCATGAGAGAAAATACATCTTGACGCCCGAACAAAAACAAAAACAAAAACTAGTAGTAAATTTCGTGATGCCACTATACGCAGAATAGGTTCATTCATAAATTACTGCGTGTGATTTGTATGTTACTATATGACCTATGACCTTTGTGAAGTCACGTGTACTATATAGAATGTCATCGTAATGCCACAAGAATGTTGTCACGGTTGCATTTAACAGATACAACATAAGATTGTATACACGTCGATATTGTAATGCTGAGAACAATCTCGAATAATCTATACAACAATACTACACTGTACCCTGGCCTATATTTGAGCAGAACAGCCTTATCGCGACGGGAAGTTTTCCTATCAAAATACCTAATATCTTCAAATCTAATGTTTTTCGTTCCACACTTTGTTACTTTTTGCAGCCCAAATATTCAAATTGTCACCCACCATATTCTGACCCGAAATATTTTCTACTAGGCTTACTAAGGTCGAAACTCGTTCCGATTTACTTACACCGAAATATACATTATATTTACATATTGGGGTTGTTCACCTCATGTGAATAAAACCTTCAATAAAATCTATATTATGTATATACTGTGCTTACTAAGACCAACCATGCTGATTTACAACAATTGTATGTTTCGCATTATGAATCGTGTCTACCTCCTAAATCTGACCAACAAACATGACAGTGGCTGTCTCGCACATCATCCGAATCGCGCGGAATTATTTCGTAATTATTGCTCCCATCGAGCGGTGAATGATCGAATAAACGGATCAGATTGGCTGGCGAGGATGTTATAGCGTGTAACCGACCAAAATCGTCTTTACCTGTAAATGAGCTGGCTGTACTAAGTTCCCCTGGCACCAACGTTTCCAGAAGTTGAATTATCCTGTCTTGTTTATACTTGAGTTCTTCCATGTCCTCTTGTAACTCTTTACAATACAATACGTCATCTCTGCTAGACCTCCTCCTCCCGGGTCTCGACGCATACACCATACTGTGATTGAAAACGATGATCGTCAGCAGGACCGTTATTAACGCCATGATGTAGACATACATAAACAGCGAGCCGTATATGTGACACTACGTTTGTACGCACTATTTTATATAATGAGCGATAT